TTGTATTAATTTTTTTTAAATACTCACAATTTTCACGATCAAATGCCCCTCTTTAATGGAGATAATATCTCAAAAGGTTACTTAACTATCCAAATTTATGTAGCAAAGTTATTAAATTTTATTTTGTATCAATAAAATCTCAATTTAAGACTTTTATCTTTCAAAATCACTCACTAAATTTACCATTAATTTATTTTGTCATGGAAAAATAAATTAATTTTTATCACCGGTTAACATGAACCTCATATCATATAAATAAAATTAAAGAATAGTGCAAGTATACCAACATGAGATGAAATATTTAAGTATAGCAACATGACTAATCTATAGTCCAATTAAATGACACAAGTATACCAACATGACTAATCTATAGTCCTATTAATTAAATGACGATTTCTAAGGTTTGTTTTAAATTACAATTTCTAAAATTCTTCTTTCTTTATTAAATTTTATATCTAATTAAATGATGTCATATAAATTGAGACGAAAATCGTTATATATGAGGGCAAAGCTTTAGAATATTTTTTGTACATCTAATTAAATGATGCCATATAAATTGAGACGAAGATCGTAAAATACGAGGGCTAAGCTATAGAATTATTCGGCGGCAAATGATGATACGTAGGAGCAAGAACTTCTGTTTTTATCCATTGGAGTTGGCCCTAATAGAGTGAAGTAAAATTAGTTATACAAAGTTGTAATAAATAGAATAATCAAGTAGTGTTTAAATTTAATCTAAGGAATTAGTAAACTTAATTACATTGTGTGACCAAATACCATGAACCTAATGACTTTCTTAGTGATTAATGCAATTCATAGTAAGGTCAATGAAATGGCCAATAATGTCTCATTCTAGATAAGTAACTGATTAAATACAATAATAATAGTAGCCTACTTGGATTTTGCACACGAGGCAACTGCCTATTTACTCATTTTTATTTTTTTAGAATATGGTCCTATGGCCTACGCCCCTATCCATTGTTCAATTTGTTTGTTCTCTAATGTATAGAAAGCACTAAATTTGAATTTTATTATTTAAGACTAAATTTGGTACAGGTCAATATGGAGGACCAAGACATATTTCTTGTGAATAAGACAAAGTGAGGTTAAAAAGGTAGAAGTAATTTTTTTGAGTATGTCAAATTAACTAACTAATTAATCCAAAATATTATTCATCTACCCTTTTTGATAGAGGAATTATATGACTGATTTCAACTAAGAAGTTGAAGTAATCCTCCTAACGTGGAGATTAAATAAATTTCAAGACTGTCAAGAAATATGCTACTAAGAGCTTTCGAATCACAGGGAAAAAATAATCAAAGAGACGAATCAAGGTAGGAACAAAATTGTACTCAAGTTGTTTATCAATAAAATATTCATGTTTCTTCGACCAAAAGTAAAGGTATTGATTGATAAATAGAAAACTATTTCCACTAATTTGAAATTGGGTGTGGATGGTAAGTACTCCCCACCTCTAACTTTAAGGATTTCTATTCGAATCACTAATTACGCAAAAATGTTAAAGCTCATGGGGAGAGGTTAAATACTAAAACAACTTCTTCTATTTTTATTTTTATTTTAAAAAAACATAGTTGATTGATTTATTCTTTTCTTTTTTTAATAAAAGAATGGGGTAGAGAAAGGGGAAATCAGAAATGGGTCGGGAGAGAAGATTACACAGTAGGAGAATCAAACCCCTCACTAACAAGATAAAAATTCAGATAGTCAATTAACTGAATTATTAAAATTTTCCTACTTGATTGATAAGTTATTCCTCACAAATTTATTAGGAATGTATTTAGGATGTGTGATATTTAGAGATTGATACATTACAACAAGAAATCAAAATGTCAACATATTTGGCCAAAATGGACGAGTTGTCTTTGTCTATGCTTTATACTCTATTCAAGACAAGATTATATATATTTAATAGTTGATTAGAGAATTTTATATATGGGACTTGGATTTGACTGGTACAAACAAACATACACAGGATTGAAGGCCTGAATCTAGTCATTTCATTTCTTTATCCTCTTAGAATGGTCCCTAACCTACTAATAAAACTAGATTTAAACGGTATCTAATGTTATTTGATTTGATACGGAATTTAAACAAGAAAGAAAAACTCTTAAAATATATCATATAAAATAAGTCATAGATATTTGTGCAGTTATATATTGTTTCAGTAAGGGTAAAATTGACATTATAAATATGTATCATTATTTTTAAAATTGATTAAAAAAAAGAGTAAATCGTATTAATTGAACAGAGAAAGTATTATTGAGTATTTTACACTACACTTATTCCCCAATAATGCAACCTCAAGCTTGTTAAAGAATGACAAAAGTCCCACATCGGTGGTTAATGAGATGGGTGGACTCCTTATAAGGTTTAGGCAATCCTCCTCCCTTTGAGCTAGCTTTTGGGGTGTGAGTTAGGCCTAAGACCTAATTTAACATGGTATCAGAGCAGGGCCCGTCTCACCCGATGTTGGGACCCCCAAAATCAAAATTGCCCACGCACCAGATGCTAAGCACTGGGCGTGAGGTGGGGTGTTAAAGAATGACAAAAGTCCCACATCGGTGGTTAATGAGATGGGTGGACTCCTTATAAGGTTTAGGCAATCCTCCTCCCTTTGAGCTAGCTTTTGGGGTGTGAGTTAGGCCTAAGACCTAATTTAACATGGTATCAGAGCAGGGCCCGTCTCACCCGATGTTGGGACCCCCAAAATCAAAATTGCCCACGCACCAGATGCTAAGCACTGGGCGTGAGGTGGGGTGTTAAAGAATGACAAAAGTCCCACATCGGTGGTTAATGAGATGGGTGGACTCCTTATAAGGTTTAGGCAATCCTCCTCCCTTTGAGCTAGCTTTTGGGGTGTGAGTTAGGCCTAAGACCTAATTTAACAAAGCTTGCCATAAGAATATCGTGGTTTATTATCAACAAAGTACACAAGTATATAAAAAAACTAATGTGCGAAAATTCAGAAACAATGTACACAAGTGGCAAAACCAAGTGAATACCTATGCTTTTAGACTATATATATATATATATATAATATGAATTCCTTGTTCAAATTAGAGGGCAGTCATTGTGAATAAGTACATGTGCTCAATTTAAAATGTACAACTATACTAAAATAACAAGAAAAATGAAAAAGTACTATGCACTATATGTCTAGAAGTGTAGAAAATATGAAAATTGTCAAAGAGTTTTCAAGAATGTAAGCTGTTATACAATACCCTATTGATTCTTTAAAGTTCATGGGATGACTTTTGGCTTTTTGTAAGTAGAGCATAAAAGCCAGCCACCTTGACAATGAACACAAGAGTGAACTATTTTTGTTTTAAGGTAAATGTTACTCTTGTCCGATAATTTAAGTGTCTTAGTTTGATTGAATTAGAAATTTAGGAAGTAAAGACATTATTTCTTCGTTCCATTTTATAAGATTTAATTCAGGTCGGCTCAAATTAAAGATAAGGCCACTAAAGCCTCTCTTTTTTTTTTTGGCCTCTATGAAAGTTTTAATCTTAATTATTTAGATCTTAATCATTAAATTTATTTGTTTTAAATTTTGAATCTTAATCATTAAGTGCATTTTTATTTTTATTTTACAATCATTGAATGAGTTAGAATATGTTTGAATGATTAAGATCTATTATAAAGTCTTAATATCATATTAAGATGTCTATTAAAGAATTTACACAAAGATGACAGGTCACTGCTACTCCATCTACTTTTATTCACTTACCACCCACAAGCCACAACTACCACCACCGTCAATCACCACCTCCTACCATCCACAATCACCACTACCGTCAATCACTAAAATCAATCGTTATCACCATTAGCCATCATTTGCAATCACCACCACCAATCATTATTTTATTACATCCATTAATCACTATCGATAATTATCACTATCTGTCAATATTATATACCGCTAACAACCATCGTCATTCACCACCCTTATTAACCAAAAATTAGATAGAATGTCGTGTTGGAAAGAGCAACAAAAGTTTCCTGCATAAATTTGGTGTTATATAAGAGGCATATGAAAGACATGAGGTGTGTAATTTATAGCTGAAAAAAATATCAATCATTATTTGAATGATTAAAACAAATACCAGCTAACGAATCGATGGGCTACTCAATACTACCTGATGAACTAAAATAAATTTATGTTACTTCAATTCCAATTTTAGACCTATTACTAAAGCATGTAGCAATCCAAACAATATATAATGTTAGCACTAATTTTTGCAACATGATTGAACATCTTATACAGGTTGTAACTCATCCAGGAACAGTATTACATAAGTCTAGGAATTAGAAAACTTGATTGTGTTCATTGCACATTTGATATAATCCATGTGATTCATGAGAAGGAACAAATTAAATTAGACGACCCAACATTATTACACTTATAATAATCAAGTTATAAAAATTGATGTAATTTAAACTTGCAGATAAATATGAAACTAGTGGATTGTTTGTATATATAAGCATTCACAAACTTGCACTGAAAACCCCTTATTAGACTTATTATTTCAACTTAAAAACGATGAAATTGTTCAAAATGTGTCGTAGTAAAGAAAGAAAATGTTCTACATGAACATGAAGACATAACATTTTCCATGAAATTACACTTTAATGTGGAATAGGAGACACAAGCCTAAAATTACTTTCGATGCGAAATTGTTTGACTTGAGAAATTCAAATTGTGTCATATAAATCGGGATATAGAAAATACTAATTTCTACTTCCTACTACCTCATGAAGAAGTTACTATCATATAAAATAGCAACAAAGTATTAGTGAACCCAAGAAAACAAGTCTCATTCACATCATCAAGCTGATATTGATGAACAGAAAATAGAGAAAAAAATGCCGCCCTTGTTATATTTGACTCACGTGCTTGAACACTCCCTTTTCCCCCAAATTCCCTTCCTAATTACTAGTTATTTAAATTCATCATTTTGGATTAATTTAAATAATCTATATTACTAATAATAAAATATCATCCCCTATTAAGTAAGAAGTTTCCTCAATCTCACGTATATATAAGGCTTTTAGTCATCGTTTAAGCTTCAAACTTCCAAATAAGAATAGTCCAACAATAACAAAAAATCTATTCAAATTTTGAACAAATGGATTATTCATCATGGGATAATCTTCTTTTTCAGTATAATTCACTTCCATTTAACGTTAACGATACAGAAGACATGTTCCTTTTTAATCTTGTTGCTGAAGGATCATCGCAAGAAACAGTGAACTCGCCGTCTGGTACTTATGGAATAAAGGAAGAGGAAGTGACCTCATATGAAGAAGAAACAGAACGTGAAAAGGAAAAGAATTACAGAGGTGTTAGAAAGAGGCCATGGGGGAAATTTGCTGCTGAAATTCGTGATTCTACGAGGAATGGTGTTCGTGTATGGCTAGGTACATTTGATAATGCTGAAGAAGCTGCGTTAGCGTATGATCAAGCTGCATTTGCTATGAGAGGTTCGATGGCTATACTTAACTTTCCTGTGGAGATAGTTAAGGAGTCGTTAAGTGAAATGAAGTGTAGATTTGATGAGAATTGTTCGCCGGTGATTGAATTGAAGAAGAGATATTCAATGAGGAGAAAGAGTGTGAGTAGAAGAAACAGAGCAAGAAAAGATGTTGTCGTTTTTGAAGATTTGGGTGCTGAGTATTTAGAGGAATTGTTGATTTCTTCAGAAAGTATCACAAATTGGTGATTTCTTTCCCCTGTTTCTCAGCCTGCTCTGTTTATATAATATTGAATTAGGATTTCATTTGTTTGATTGTTTTTTTAAGAGAGGGAAAATGGGGAACGTCTCTCACCAACAACGTGAAAGTTCAGATTCCCCTTTTCAACTGCTTTTTGTGAATTCATTGATGACTTTATTAATTTATGGTTCTTTTGTACAGACAAAAGAACTAATTATGTTTTTTTATAAAATCTAAATGTAGAGACATGATGAAGATTGTCCATTTTACCAGAAATGTTGAATCTGTGCTAGCATTTGACATGGTCTCTATATTAATTAAAAAACAAAGTATAATAATGGATTTTCAATTGATTTAATTTTACTATATCCAAAATGCAAATAAAGGAGAAGAGGAGGATTAAAATTGAAAACAGAGGATGTCTTTAAAAGATTAATTTATGTGATTAAGGTAGAAGATGTTAAATTCTTAACTATTCGGGCATATTTGATAAAAGAGTTTATCTCTTTTAACTTGCTATTAGTTGATATCTATAATATTTAATTTTGGATATACATAAATAGATACTATAAATTTGTATAAAGTTAAACAAGTAACATATATTCATAGTCCAACGTGATATATACAAATCTATCTTAAATGTTCTATCATTAATTAGCATAAGCTCAATTTTGGCAAAATTTGAAATTGTTTGGCAACAGGAGAAGAAGAAAACTTGCAAATTAAGTTGCATTGCAGCCTATTACCAGACACGAAAAGCACTGAGATCTGATGGACTTCTGGCGAAGACCGTACAAAAAGTTGTGTGTCTGCACAATGTTACAGTCCATAAAAAAATTGAGACATGATCAGATCAGCAAAAGAGCTAGGAGTACTATTTTTCATCAAAATGTTTCTTTGGAAAATAAATGGTTATTTTTACTTATTATTTTCTAATATTTGTTAAATAGATAAATAAATTATTTGGAGAGTATCTATATTTATATGTAATCTAGAATTTTTTTTAACTATAACGGGAAGCAGTGGAAAATGTGAATTCAAGGGTGGCGAGGGTTGGGAGTTGGGGGCGATAGATGCTAGGGTGAACTGGCCGGAAGAGACAATGAATTCGGAATATTCATATGGAACCTGATTTTCTTTCTTTCCTTAAGAAAATCATTTTCTTTATTTTTCTAGAAAATATATATTCAAAACAAATTCACCGACCAAACATGAAAAGTTGAAAAATAATTTCTTAAAATTCCTCTAGTTCCGATAGCAGTTCTCCTAGATATCAAAGTTCAATCTAGGTTGACTTTAAAAGAATAATACTATTTAATAATAGTCGACTCAGTTGGTTTGGAGGGTGGTCATCTATGTGGATGATTCGGGATCGATTTCCCCTCAATCCCTTCTAAATCGAGCTTGTTGCATAGGGCTTGCCTAGTGCATTTCACATTTCATGTGTGGTTTGCAGGTTATTACCCAGTACACCATAAAGTGCTCATCCGAAGGGCAGAAACTGTGGTGCGGCGTATTATCCTAAAATTTCCCAAAAAAAATTATAATTATATAAATATTTATAACTTATTTTAAATTATGAATTTCAAAAAAAGAAGTTCATTTTAGAACTTTCGTTCAATCAAAGTTCATATACATTATTTTATTTTTTTATCAACATATACAATATACATAAATTAGAGCTGAGGAACTAGTAGTAAGCTTTGTCCCCTAGTAATTAAGTAACCCTCTGTTTCTTTTTCCTAATGAGGAAGGCCTAATTTCAGAAGGTCAGTAGGGTTAGAACTTAAATCTTCTTTTTTTCCCCATCAAAATAGTATGAATTATGATCTCTTTGACTATTGGACAATACCTTTCACACTCACATTTTTGTATATTCATGGAAAATCGTTTATTTTGGATTATGTCTAAAAATAATAATAATCAATGTTATGTCTTTGTTTTGTTCTTTTATTCTGGTAGAGTAGGCTGGACTTTCATGGACCTATTTGGGTTTCATCGAGATAAATGGGCCATCGGCCCTAGTTCACTTTAAAATACCTAATTACACAAATGTTCTTATTATATTTATTTATTTATTTATTTTATAACTTGAAATAATTATATTTTATATCATTTATTATTGTACTAATTTACTATAAGATACACTTAAATACATGTTTTTCCTACCAGATATATACTGAAATAGGGAGAGAAGTTCAAATACATGAGAATTACACTAAATACACATCGGATACATGTATCTGTGTAATCACATGTATCTGGGATAACAGATACATAGAAGAGTGACGAGTAAATTTTTCTATGTATTTCAGATATATACAAATTCACTTAAATAAAGTATATCCAAAACAAATTATATCTAATTTTGATCTTATATTTTATAAGAAAGCACAAATATCAAACCACAACTTAAAATTAGGTCCCATATCATATGGTCAAACGCCTATTCCAAGATTCTCAATATCCTGTCTATAAATATATTACACAATGTATTCAAGTAATTCTCATTCCCTCATTTCATTTTGTTTGATTTGATATAAAACTTTATAAAGTAAACAAGAATTTTGAATCACGTATTCTCTAACATGTCATATAAAAATTGAAATTAAGAAGTTGTCTAAAAAAATTAACATTCGCTTTTCAAATGACCTAATCAATTCAATCCATCTATTTTCATTATTTAAATCTTTAACAATATGAAAAAAAAATAATTATTTAACTCGTTGAGAACACGAAAAAAACAAAAACTCAGCCTAAGAACCATAAAAAAAATTAGACTAAAGGGATTTGTAAGGAGTAAGGAGTGTACAAATATGGCGGCTTGCTGTGTGCTCTGTTCACAAAGCAATACAAATTTGTATATACATCTTTCACCAATACAGCAATACCTGCTAACTCAGACAGACAAAAAAGGACCTGCAACACTGCCACATTCCCCAGAACTTTTAAAATGACAAACAAAAAGAATTTCGAATATATATATATATATATATATATGTTGGTTTCCAAGAAATCAATATACTAACAATTCTTGCATTTTCTCAACACTATGGAGCTAGCAAGAAAAGAGTTACCCTTTTACTTACATTTTTGGGTTCAAGTCCATGGATTACCAAATTTCTCTTTCACCCAACAAAATGCATTCATGATTGGTCATTTTTTAGGAGAGTATTTGTGTGTTGACAAAACTGTTTGGGGTAAGTTTATGAGGATTCGGGTCAAACTGGATATTAAAAATCCATTAGTCACTGGATTTTGGGTAATGCCGAATATTTGGATTCCTTTCAAATATGAAAATTTGGGATTGTTTTGTTACAAATGTGGTCGTATTGGAAATCATCAAAACACATGTAAATTCCCACCTGGGAATGAAAAGTTTGGTCCTTGGCTGCGTGTTGAAAGTTCGGGTTTTCGTAGAGTAATGGAGGAGAAGAAGAACTCCATGATTGTGGTTGAGAAAGAAAATTTCACATTGATTCCTTCACCAAATCTATTGGCATGGCCAGAAGTGGAAGATGATTTTGAAAATACTATACCACCAATGTATGCTTTAACTTGTTCTGTTTTTTTTTTCTTCTAAGTTATTTAAAATTTATGGTACTTATTAGTTTTTGCGTGTGTATGTGTAAACAGGAATGAGTGGGCGAGGTTGACGATTGACGGAGTTGATTCGATTATTATGATGGTGAATTGTTCAGTAATAGCATACCGAGTAGCAGAGGCTAATGAAGTTAAAGGTTATGGCTGGTTGATTGTCATGATGGCTGCTTATTTCTTCTACTTGATGCTCAAATTCAATGTTATGGTCCAGCGTATCGGTTTCTTTTGCAGTGGAGGAAGCACCATGGTTGAGTATAGTCAAGTGGCTCAGCTGAAGGATTTGCTTATCTTGCTCATGTTTTGTGTTGTCTTTCTTGTGTCTTGTTGATTTTTGTTCTGCTTTTAGCCTTTAGTTGATGTTTTGCACAAAAAATTGACACTTCGATAGTTATGTCCTGTTTGAAAAATCTATGAAAGACAGACTCCTTTTTGGTTATGGACTAGGTATGTATTGTTGCTTTCATATTTCTCTTTAACAGTTTTATCCTATGTTGCTCGGACTTTCCAAAAATGAAGTCTCACCCGTGTCGGATACTCCAAAAATGCATTACTTTTGGAGGATCCAACACACACCCTGTGGCGTTTTTGAAGAGTCTGAGCTACATATGTTTTATCAATCTTCTAGTTAGTTCATGACAAAATAAACTCAAGGAGCAACCAACAAAGGTTGAGGTGGAGTGGTAAACTCCTTCATCCTTAATCAAGAGGTCTCGGGTTCGAGCCCCCTTCGGTACGGAGTCGCCTTTGTTAAGGAGCGCTTTACCCCCAATGTTGGACTCCACGGCGCGAATTGAATCTGGATTTAGTCGGCTTCAATGTGGGTACCGGAATCAAACTTTGAAATAAAAGAAAATTAAGAAGATATGGGACTTGAATTTCTACTATAAGGCGTATCTTTTACAGTATAATGTAAAGACAAAAGGGAATCTTGATACAACTTTATTCTTATAAGTAGAATTATTATATATATACAGTATAATGTAAAGACAAAAGGGAATCTTGATACAACTTTATTCTTATAAGTAGAATTATTATATATATACAGTATAATGTAAAGACAAAAGGGAATCTTGATACAACTTTATTCTTATAAGTAGAATTATTATATATATACAGTATAATGTAAAGACAAAAGGGAATCTTGATACAACTTTATTCTTATAAGTAGAATTATTATATATATATGTAGGACTCTTGTGTCTGCATTAGGCGCGAACATAGGGAGAAGGAATCAAGAACAAGTTGTTTTTCCTTTCAAGAGCATTGCTAAATTTCTCAGTCATGTCTAGTTCATGAGGGTTCATTCCATTTGGAAGTTTCCAATCAAAATGGTATAGTAATAGTGCTATACTAAGCTCAACAGTAGCCATTGAAAATGATAACCCTGGACAAATTCTCCTTCCTGTGCCAAAAGGCGTAAACTCGAAATGTGCTCCAATAAAATCAAGGTGACTATCATTAAATCTCTCTGGATCAAATACTTCAGGATTTTGCCAATACTTTGGATCCCTTGAAATTGCCCAGAAATTGACAAGAGCCATTGTGCCTTTAGGTATAACATAGCCATTAATCTCACACTCTTCCCTGGATTCTCTTGGAGCTAATAATGGAGCTAAAGGATGAAACCTTACTGTCTCCTTAACAACCATTTTTATGTATTTGAGTTTCTGAATATCGGCTTGATCGATTGTAGTTTCCTTTCCTTTGAATACTTCCCTAACTTCATCCTGTGCTTTCTTCATTATTTCCGGTTTTTTCATTAGTTCTGAGAAAGCCCATTCCATTGTTGATGCTGAAGTTGTAGATCCTCCTGAAAACAAGTCCTGCATATCCAACAAAACTAATTAGTACCGCGCAAAATTATTTCTCAAGAAAGAGGAAAATCATGTGTTGGTTGGATATAACAAATATCTAATGAAATAATCGAGGTGTATGTAAGTTTCGTCATTCAACTTACAATGATTATAGCCTTGATATTATCTCTTGTGATAGGAATTGAAAAATCTTGGCTCTTTTGAAGCCTTAATAGAACATCAACTATATCTTCTTCTGAGGTCTCACTATTTTGGAATTCATGTTCATTGATAATTTCTTCTAAAAGAACATCAACCTCATCATGCATTTTCCGCAATTTGTATTTTAATCCACTAATGAAATGAATCATCTTCATCGATGGAAAAAGATCCGCGAGATCAAACACTCCAGCTGAAGCAGCCACTGTTCTCATGATCTCAATCAAAGACCCCTGACTTTTACAAGCCCTGCCTACACTTGCTTTGCAAATAATCGAATTCGTGTACAAAGACAACGTGTCCGTCATGTTGATTGAACTTCCACCCTCAGAAGCAGAACTTTTAATTGAGGTAACAAGATTAGTTATCTCATTGAGCATATTGGGATAAAATGACTGAATATTTTTATGACTAAGTAATTCCTGAATACAAATTTTACGCATTTGTCTCCAAAAATCACCGTAGTTACAAAATCCCATATCCGCATGGTCATAAAACATCTCTGTTCCAACCAAAAGCGTTGGTCGATTAGAGAAGTTGAGATCATGTTTTCTCATCACTTCTCTAACCATTTGAGGCGAGGACACAACAATGGCTTCGCGTTCGCCGAGTTTCATGTGCATTAAATCTCCATATTTTGAGGCTAATTTAGCAAGAGTGCGATGAGGTAGTAACTCAGATGATTGCCAATCAACAAGATGGTGTAAGTTTCCAATGAATGGGAGTTTCCAAGGGCCTGGAGGTAATTTTTTCTTACTATTACACTCTTTGTACCATTTAGTAACAAGTAAAGGCAAAACTAGAAATAGAGCACAAAGAAGAATAGTTAGCTCCATTTCTATTGTGTAGTGAAAAAATTAATCTTAGCTGAAATTGGCTATGTTTATTGTATATTAAAAAAATTTGGTCACCTATTTATACAATTGAATTAAATCATTGTGTATGAATTAAGTTTTTTTTTTTTTAATAATTTAAGAGGCCCTCATGTCGAACCTTGTATGCGGCCAGCCTCACGTGGAATTTTGGGCTTCACTAAGGAACTTGATTACTCTAACTCACAAAAGGGAGGCTAACAAGTAAATTGAATAACCGACCAAAAGAAAAGGGAAGTTTCTCTAGGGAATTAAGGCGTGCTAATTATTTGAGTACAAAAAGTATATATCAAATTTTTTGTTGGAAATAATATAGCTAAGTGGACGTGATTATAATAGATATAAAGAGGAAATTTCGAAAATGATTATAGTTTGGGCTTACTTAGAGATTTATAAGTACTATAGTTTACTTGATTATGACTCATAATTATATGTTAGAAGGAAGAGAGAGGCGGGCGAAATTGAGAGGTAAGAGAGAGGCGAATGAGATCTGAGAGAGAGGTGAGAGGTAAGAGAGAGGTGAATGAGATCTGGGGGAGAGGTGAGAGGCGAGAGAAAGGTTGAATACATGTTGTATTCATTGATGTATCATGAATACAATTGTATAAAATAAACTATTGTATTTGTTGATACGAATCATTGTATAAGTGTATTAACGAATATAATTTGTATCAACTAATACAATTTGTATCAAGTTCAATTGTATTAACGAATATAATTTGTATATCATCGTATACTCAATGTGGTATTTCGTAACAAAGTATATTTAAATTCATGTGCATTTGTATTCGTCTATTGCTTTGTGTATTTATATTTATGTGTTACCATGTGTATTTCTTACTTTGTGTGTTTGTATTTATATTTGTATATGCTACCATCTATTGCCTTAAAAAAATAACCATTTATATTGATATCCTTGATTCTAACATTTGTATTTATATCATTGCCACATGATCTGTATTTATATACTCTAAATAAATACACATATAATACAATTGTATTCTGTCAATTAGAGAGAGAGAGGGGCAAGCAAGAGAAGACGGAGAGAGAAGCGAAAAAGGAGAGAAAATTTTGCTATAAAATCCTAACAAAAATTATCAACCATAATTTTTTGAAGTATAGTTATATATTGTGAATACATATCACATATTTGCAAACAACGTATTAATTGTCTTAGCAAGATAGATTATCATAGTATTTTGAAATATGTGAGAGTGAGCATTCGGCAAAAGGTTACATAGTATATATAAGGTAATTTTTTAATAGATTTTGAATCACTTGAATACAAGACTAGAGGCGAACACTTAATGATTTAAGAGTTCAAAATTCACCTTGAGGTTTCAAGTTCAAATTCCATGCACTATATTATTATTTTAAAACTTTTTTAATGAAAATTATGAATACGCCATTGATCAGAACTATTTATTGACTAGTACACTATCTCTTCTCTTCTTTTTTTTTCCCGAAAAAACAAAGATTGCTTCCCTCACACTGTCGATTTGTATTTTTCCGTCGGTAAAATTGATCCAAAGAAAAAAATACCCACGAGGTTGAATGATAAATGAAGTTAATTGTGATTTTTAATTGACTATTTATGCTATAACGTCAAATAAAACGAGAAATTCCAATTTGTTGTGGAGAGAAAACATAGGGTCAATTGTGTACACTTTCTAATTTTGTATATTAAATTAAATTTAGTGCACTTTTACTCTAAATGGAACTTTTTTAAATCGGATTGGGCCCAAACATTAATCAGTTTAAATAATAAATTTCATAAAAGGTTTTCATTTCAAAGCAGTAGCAGACCGTTCAGGACTCTACTAGAAAAAATGAAGTTGAAGACTTGTATTTTTGCACGTAATAAAAGAGAGTTTAAGCAATGTAATATTCTCTTTACGGCTTTATATATTAGTAAAAAAAAATCTTCTAACGGATGCGTTTGCGATGTGTCCCATATATATATACACTAAAACCTCTATAAATTAATATAGGTGGAACCATGAAATTTTATTATTTTATAATTATATTATTTAATCGATAAATTAATATTTATTAATTTAAAGAATGGTTTGAGATTTAATGAAGGTTAATTTTTACTATATCAAAATCATTGTATCTTACTAATTTATGTATCATATTTATTGATTTCACATAAAAAATATTATACATAAAGTACAACGAATACATCAAAATCATTATATCGTACTAATTTATGTATCATATTTATTGATTTCACATAAAAAATATTATACATAAAGTACAACGAATACATCAAAATCATTATATCGTACTAATTTATGTATCATATTTATTGATTTCACATAAAAAATATTATACATAAAGTACAACGAATACATCAAAATCATTATATCGTACTAATTTATGTATCATATTTATTGATTTCACATAAAAAATATTATACATAAAGTACAACGAATACATCA